CATCGCAACCATAGTTGCGAGGAACAAGCTTGAGCGCGTGGCCGCCTACAGGCAGTTGCAGGGGACGTCGCATCAGCTTTACCTGCTTTCAGGGCGCACGCTTGACGAGTTCGACTTGCCTGACGCTGCGAATGTGAGGCCGACCGACCAGACCGAGTCTCGCATTGTTGTTCCAGACGTGGCGAGCGGAACGGATACTGCGTACATGGTGGACAGGGTATCTGGAGAACGGTTTGCAATTTCACCCGCCGATTGTGCGAAGGTTCCGCTTTTGACGCTGATGCTTGACCAGGGGTCGATCGGGACAGCAGGGGCAGCGTTTCCTATTTTCCACCAGGGCAAGATGATCCACGCCAGGTTCGACAAGATCCACAGGGTCATCAGGGACTTGAAGAATGCCGAGAAGCATTGTATGGATTCTCTTTTTAATGGTGTGCAAGATGTGGTCAGCGTACCTGTACGGCATGAACAATAGGCCTTTCAATAGCGGAACAAATTTCACGAACAACTAAAGGCTGCTGGAGATATTTTCTTAAACTTCTGATATCGATTCTCCAGTGTTCAGGAAGTACTTGCATCACATGGCCAAAGGTTGGAACATGCCATGTGACAGTAGGGCAGAGATCCAAGCCATATTCGACAACGTGTTGCAGATGGTGCCTTTCAATAACAAGATGAGCCAGCCAACGCAGGCCAACTGGCTCGCATGGAACTAGGCCGCGCGCTTTCAAATCCCTGAGTTCTGGGCCACCAAGATGGTGCTGGAGTCACAGCTGGACGACGTCGACCCCGACTCAACCGATGGTTTTGCTGGCAGGAATCCTTCGGCGCAGCTTGTGAAACTGTTGAACGCAGGAGGCGGCTTACGTTTAGCATACAAACTCATGACGGCATCGATGCACGCGAACGTAAAAATCATGAAGGCAAGGTCATGGGCGCGCTGTTCCCGAAGCCATGCAGGCGCGCCCAAATCTCAAACGCAAATGGGGTGGTTGTGGCGGGCCTTTCAGATTGACAAGTAGGCTTGTGATCCATATGTTCGGCATGCCGCAACCACAACATGTGCTAATGCATTGGGCGCGCGCGCGTGGCTGTGGGCGCTGCGCGCCCTGTTCCGAAAGGTGGTTGGGAATCCATGTTGGGATTGGTATACTGAGCAGGTAACAAAGACCAAAACGCCGAACCATGCGTTCAACTACCTCATGGGCTTGGCCAATGGAGTTTGGCAGTTCCAGGACCACGTGTGGAACACAGTCTACACTACTCTTCACGACAGCGACAACTTGAAGTTCGTGGGCATGCACCCAGGGAAGAGCGAGGAGGCCAAGAAGGCATGATCGCTGACGCTGCACATTGTTCAGGATCGGATGTGGACCATGACCAAGCACAGGCTGCCCTCTGATAGCTATGCAGCCGTGGCGTCGCCCTCCGCGTACATTACTGACGGATCCTGCGCGACGATGAGGACGGAGCATCACAACCTTGTGGTTTTAGAGAGTGTTCGGCACACGAATGCCGCAGCACAGGCGTTGTGGGACGACATGGCCTTGGTTGCAAAGTCTAAGCCAATCAGGGCGCTGTTTGAGTTCTGTTGCCGTGATAAATCTAACCGTAGGTCGTTCGCTGGAAGGCATTTACTGAAAGGTATGCTTTGGACAATTGCGGGCAGCAAAAGCTGCGAAAACACCCATGGCACGTTGCGGCTTGATCCTCGGGCGGATTCCAGTACAAAAAAATCAGCACAACAGGCTTCACTATCTAGTCAACACGAGTGGAGTATCGATGCGCGCGGTGTGCCTCACAGACCACATGTGAGCAAGCAGGATTTCATCAACCATTTCAAGGTGCTGAAACCAAAGGCAATGACATCTAAATACAGGAGCTGCAGGCACAAGCTACCAACGAGCTGGTCCAAGATTCTGGCGAAAAAACCATGGCCTACTTTGAACGAGGAGTGGGCGAACAAAGCTGCAGCGGCATAGGCGTGGCTACGCGAATATACTTGGCGTCGGCGCGTTGGCAACCCTGCTAGCTTGGGCGCGGCCCGTTTCACGAGGCTCGCGCCAGCTCTACAAGTCGTCCAGTACGGAGACAATTTTTGGTTGTCCCTTGGCCACCACACGTGGGCCTTCTTGGGCTGGCAGCTGCGCCGTGACGCCGTTGACGACATCACGTATTTCACACTTACCAAGGACCAGGCTATCGCAAATATTGCGCTGTCGTTGTTCGTTGACTGCTGCGCCCTCCTCAGGCTTTAAGTGTTTGTTTGTTGTTTCGATTTTCTGGTTGCCAGGGTTCGCCTCTGCGGCCTAGGGTGTTCGGGCAATGCTTCTGATGGGGCAGGGCGCGTCAGTCGGTGCAGCTGCGGCAATATTTGTGCATCGCCCTGAGGATCCCGTTGCTTGGCTCCATGTCACGGACCCATCCGACTGGAAGGTCGTCCCCACAGTGGCATTCGTGCTGGCCGGCGCTGGAGTGGTCATGAAACAGATCGTAGAGACAGCTTTTCTCATGGGGCACGCGCTGACGACATATGCTAACACGCTGAACTTCCAGGACCTCTTGCAGCGTGCTCGCTTTAACAGCGATGTTGACGTTCCCGAAGGGGCGACGACTCCGAAGGACGCTTGTAACATCATTGGGAAGTCGCTGGACCCCGACGACCCTGCCAACGTCACGGGTGATATGATCTACACGTCCTTTACGTCCGACGTAGGTTGCACATCAGCGTTCGATGACGCGATGGTCGAGATAGTGTTCGAGGACTTCGACGCTGAAGACAAGAACGAATTCCCAGAGGTCGGGAAGGCCATCAAGGAAAGGAAGATTCGGCAGCGATGCGCCGAATACAAATTGCACTAGAAACGGAAACCCGCCGGCTTGGACCCTGCAGGCCCAAAGAAAAAGAAAGCGAAGACAAAGGCCAAGGCGAAGGCCAAGCCTGGGCCCATGGCAGGCCACCCTCCTGAGGAGCCGCCGCCTCCACCGCCACCACCACCGCCGCCGCCGCCACCGCCAGGGGCAGTGCCAGCAGGCGCCGCGCCAGCGCCTCCAGCGCCCGCGCCAGCGCCAGCGCCACCAGTACCAGGCGCTGCGCCAGCGCCGCCAGCGCCCGAGCTTCCGCTACCGCCGCCAGCGGCAGCCCCCGCGCCGCCAGCAGGAATCCATGGTCATGGGCCACCTGTTATCCCAAGCTTGGTTTACACGATTGTTGGGTGTGCGCATTGCGGCCGCTTGAACGGCCAATTCCAGCTTCACGCCAGCCCTGGTTTACGCGACGCACCGTCCTGGAAGGTGCGCGTCTGGGATACCGCCGCAAACAAATGGGCAAATCGATCGCCGCTGTTTCGAGTGCTCACACAGACGCCAGAAAGAGACGAGGCGTGGGCGCGCAGGTGGCTACATGATAACAGAACGTGCTGCCGTCCAGGCTGATGCAGACATTTGGGTGGCAGAGTGGCGCAGTGCCTCCTGCCGTCCAGGCTGATGCGGGTTGCTGTATATATTTGGGGTTGCAGAGTGGCGCAGTGCCTCCTGCCAGGTTTGGGGCATGGACCTGCACTGACTCAGTACTCGCCTGCGAAAACAAAAACACATAATCATCATCATCATCATCATCATCATCACCATCGTCGTCATCACAATCGGTACCGCCTCCATCCTGACTTTCACCATCTTCATCGTCATCATCGAACCTGTTGCCATCCGTAGCCAATTTGGCTCAAGACGCCATTTGGGGACCGAACACCCTTCAATCGTGACAGTGCCCTGCCAACCGCTACAACGCGTTCCATGGCGTTGGCTCCAGTAACTCCTCCCAGGACAGTGACGGCTTACCAGTACTCCAACGAGGACGTCACACACGCATTTCAGAAGGGGGTCCTATACCTGGATGAACAAACTGGTCTTGTACAGTGGCAGTGTGGCAGCAATATCACGTGTTGGCACGGGTCGTGGAATTTCGGGGATGGTACTTTCAGTATATATTTCGACAGCCGTGCTGGTCCTCGCCCCGACAAGAGCAACATCATCTTGAAGTCGTCGTTCCTGTTCGAGACTGGAGGTGATGGTGGTGGAACCCCTTGTACCTCTGAGGGTTTCGATTATCGCGGGCGTAAGATTGTTTATTCCGCCAATGTTAAAACTTTCCCTCGGCGCCCAAACGGGCGTCTGGAAGCGCACGGCTGAGTGGTCTCAGGAATCGCAGGCCTGGTTCAATATCCCGTAGCTCGGAATCGAAGTAGGCTCGCTCGTCGCCGCCTGTATTCGAGGCGCCCGTAGGACCCCATCTCGGTGGGCAAGAATCATCGAACCTATTGCCATCACCATCATGATCCTCGCCATCGCCACATCCCATCATCAACGTCATCAACTTCCCATCGGTACCACCGTCCACATCATCATCCCCCTCAAAGCCCACATGCAATCTATCAACATCCAATGGATATCAATCAACACCCAAGTGGTACCCAACAAAATACAGACACACATTCCCGAAACTCCTATGGATTAATAACCTTATGATCTAGACATTTGGGGTGGCAGAGTGGCACAGTGCCTCCTGCCAGGTTTGGGGCATGGACCTGTACTGACTCAGTACTCGCCTGCGAAAACAAAAACACACCATCATCATCATCATCAGCATCATCATCATCACCATCATCATTATCATCGTCGTCATCACAATCGGTACCGCCACCATCCTGATTTTCACCATCTTCATCGTCATCATCGAATCTATTGCCATCACCATCATGATCCTCACCATCGCCACATCCCATCACCAACGTCATCAACTTCACCAGCTCCCACCTGCATCATCACCATCATCGTCGTCGCCTTCGCCATCGGTACCACCGTCCACATCATCATCCCCATCAAAGCCCACATGCAATCTATCAAAATCCAATGGATATCAAGCAAAACCCAGGTGGTACCCAACAGAATACAGACACACACATCCCCGAAACCCTATGGATCTATAACCCTATGATCTAGAGTCCCGCAGAATGATCTTGATGAATCCCCAGCGCAGCCTCAAGCAGGAGGACATCCGCTCGTTCCTGGTGTCCGAATCCGACAACAGAAAGTTCACAGAACAGATGGGGCAGCTGTTGCTGCAGGACTGCGGGAAGGAGCACTCAGACCTGAGCAAGACCTTCCAGGTGCTGATGAAGGACAGCACAGGCATCCCCGTGAACGTGCACGTGTTCGCCGTGTCTTATTTTAGCCAGGGCGGGCTCCCGGCCTTCAAGGTGGGCGTCCTGGAGGTGAGCGACTCCGACTCCATGCTTCTGCCAAACCTAGGGCATCTGGCGGAGATCAGGCAGCTGCGCCGGCGGGGTCGCCGGCCAAAGCAGGACCTGCAGGGAACGCCGCCGGGGCAGTCCCCCCGGTCCGCTGAAGACAGCAGCGGCAGCAGCAACGGCACTCTGGACCTGGAGCAGTCCCTGGGCTCGGATGCTTCAGGCTCGACGTTTTTCAATGATTTCGAGGGGGGCGCCCCCGCCTTCTGGTTCGACGTGCTCTCGGCTGGCTACGACATTCTGTGCTTCTCCGACAGCTTCCAGCACTGCTTCGGCACCTGCGAGGACGCGAAGTTTCTGAGCTGGGTCAAGATGAACCAACACGACCAGTTTGTGGAGTGGGTCCAGGAGTCGTATGTCGCGCTCCTGGGCCAGACCGAGGGTGACACCTCAACCTCCACGGATTTTTTTCCGCGCCCCCTCCACTTCATGCCGACCCACCTGCGCCAGCACCGGCTCGCCTTCTCGGCCACGGTGTTCCTGGACCTGGGCGACGTCCCAGACATGTCCAAGCGGGGCCTAGGCACCGCGCGCATGACCTTCAGCAGCGTCCGGCGCTGGACGACCAGCGGCGCTCGACGAAGGCACGGCCGAGGGCCCAGGCGGCCGCCGCAGCGCGATGGGGGGTTGCACCGCAGCGGTGGGACCCCGGGCGCCCTCGAGGCCGCGGGGCCGTGCAGGTCCTACAGCCTGCTGGGGGGCCCAGCACAGTTACGCCACGGGCATATTCAAATGAGACCTCGCCATCCCTGGGGGGGTGCGATCTGTGAAACTGTCGGCATTTTCGAGGCCTGCTGGGGGGCCCAGCACAGTGACGCCACGGGCAGATTCCTCTGAAACCTCGCCATCCCTGGGGGGCTGTGATCTGTGAAACTGTCGCCATTTTCGAGGCCTACTGGGGGGCCCAGCACAGTGAGGGCCACGCGCGGATTCAAATTAGGCCTCGCCATCTTGGGGGGGCTGCGATCTGTGAAACTGTCGCCACTTTCGAGGCCTGCTGGGGGGCCCTGCACAGTTACGCCACGGGCATATTCAAACGAGACCTCGCCATCCCTTGGGGGCTGCGATCTGTGAAACTGTCGCCACTTTCGAGGCCTGCTGAGGGGCCCGGCGCAGTGACGCCACGGGCAGATTCAAATGAGACCTCGCCATCCCCTGGAGGCTGCGATCTGTGAAACTGTCGCCACTTTCGAGGCCTGCTGGGGGGCCCGGCACAGTGACGCCACGCGCGGACCCAAATTAGACCTCGCCATCCCTGCGGGGCTGCGATCTGTGAAACTGTCGCCACTTTCGAGGCCTGCTGTGATCACCATTTTCGAAGTGGCTAGGAGTGCCCAGGAATTGTAACTCATCAGCTTTATCAAGCCCTTTTCCTGTAGCCAGTGTCCTGCGAGTCTCCCGAATTCCGTCTGCAGACATATGCAACCCTCGCTCCGTCATCGCCCCCTTATAAAGTATCCTAAACTATTTGCGCCCCGCTTTTGCGCAGGGGTTGGGTACGTCGCCAGGGTAATTTCATATGTTTTGCTGATATCGCTTCTGAAAAAACATTGAAAACACATTGTGTTTCAAAGGATTTCGCCATGATCGCGCGGCCGCCGCGCGCGTGTGTACTCTGTCGTATTTTTTTGCAATGGATTATTGACATGGACACATCTTGCAAGAGCAACATGTTGAGTTTATAGTATTGTTTACAATGGAAAGTACACATCAGAAACGAGGAATGATCAGGATGTAGTATTTTTTGCAAAGGATGGAGCATGTTGAAAGGCAGAAGGAGTTTATATTTTTTACAATATAAAACTCCGGTTTACATACGGGGTCGCGACCGGGACCGGCCAATTTGTATTGTAAAAAATATGGTTTTCTGATCGCGTGATCAGGAAATACTATTTTGTTGCAAAGGATGGAGGGGGGTTTGCATAGCGGCCAGTTTTGAAGGGTTTAGGGTTTAATGATGATAAGGATTAGAGATTTAGGGTTTAGGGTTTAGGGTTTAGCTCTCCGTCTTTCGAGAAACCCACGGCGAATACTACGCCTGGTTGCGGGTTCGGGGAGGAGGAAGGAACAGTTCTGGTGGGGGGGATGATTTCGTGGCATGGGTGAAGTGGATTCAACGAATAGCCCAGGATATCGAACAACGTCTGGATGACGTTGGGATGGCCGATTGGATTGCGCAGCGCAGAGCCCGAAAGTGAAAGATAGCGGGGAACTTTTTGTCAAGCGATGCGCACGAATGGTCTTGCAAGATGCCGTTGAGGAGCTCAGGCCCGGCCCAGAGCAAGAGAGACTGCATCGGGCGTCCTGTGAAGAGGTGGGCCGACGGCTTCGCTGACGCGCACGGCCCAAAAAGACAAACATTGCCCGGAACCCGGAGGAGTGAGCTGAATTTGAAGATCGTTTCACCACGCATTGAATTCTGAGCCTACAGTTGTCCTCACTGCCGTGGGTGGGGCTGCCTACCTGCGCGTAGTACGCCGCCCTCCCCCTGACTGGGGCCAGTCTGACTGTGCAGGGCGCGAGTCGAGTCGAGTCTGCGTATACTGTTGTGCATGTGGAGGATTGCCCGCAGTGCGCGGGTTCCGCAAGCACGCTCTCTCGGACAATCTGCATGTGCGTGTGTTCTTGCGGGGGACGTATCCTCGATTTCTTTCTCCAACGTCTCTCGGACCTCCTTGCTCTCATCATAATAGGCCCTCCTCATCCCCCTCCCCCTCCTCCTACTCCTCCCTGCCCGAAGCCCTCGGGACGGGCGGCAACCCGCTTGCCACCCCCGCGGCTCGGCATCGCGTGCGCAACCGCCGCCGGAGAGGCAGCGCAGCGCCCGTGCGGCAGCGCGGCGAGAGACCCCCGCCGTCTGCCAGAGGGCCTCGCGAAGTGCACCCCGGGGCGGGCCGCGGCGCCGTCGTGCTGGCGCGGTCGCCGCCCCCAGCAGCGCGGGGCGGCGCGGTCAGAGCCGGCCCTGCGCCGCGTCCGAGCTCGCGGCCGCGTTTGGCCAGACACCCGCTCGGCTCGCGTGCTTGCGCGGGCGCTGTTTTTTTGTGTTATATATATATATATATATATATATATAATATATATATATATATATATATATATATATATATATATATATTATATATACATATATATTCCTTTTCCCTATCAAAATATAAGGGACCCCCCCCCCCCCGGATGGGCGTCACCTAATTCGCCCCCCCGGAAGAGCTCTGAACGGGCTCACGACAGCTCCGACAATGCCCGAAATTACCCCCAAGCTGGTCCGACCGGCCCACATTCCGCTCTATGATGCCCCAGTTGCTCCTAGGAAGGCCCACGAGGCCTCCAAGACGCCCCAAGAGGCCTCCGAGAGCCTTCCCAAGAGAGCCCCAACAGGCAAAATTCATTGACTTCCAATGGTCTTCGACGATTCTTGGATTTACGCGTTTGCCACACCCGCCTCTCCAAAACGGCCACATGGACTCTCCAAGATTGCCCCCGGACGGCTTAAGACACCTTCAAGACGGCCCCAAGACAGCCCCAAGACGGCCCAAGAGGCTTCTAAGACGGCTCCAGGGACCCTCAAGACGGTTCCAAGAAAGGCCCCACGACAGGATCCGAGCCGACATTTCGGCCCTCCCGCTCCAGGATACCCCGAACACACTCTCCAGAGGCCCCCAAGGCCCCAAGAGACCCCCAGGAGATCGCCGAGAAGCCACCCATGAGGCCTCCAAACGCCAAGGCCCGCACTAACAGCGACGACGTACACACCTCGGCCGCGCCAGGCTCTATTGATGTCCCGTAGCCCTTGGCTCCAGGATTCCGCTGCTGCTCCGCCTCGGCATACGCCGATTGGGATCATGACGGGCGACTCCCCCGCCGTGCGCAAGAGGCCGGCCTCTCGCGGACGTCCCAGCGCAGATACGTTACATTGCACGCGCTGCGACCAGGACGTCCCGCGGCTGCACTTCGCAGTCCGCCAACGCCACCGAGCCACCCGCGCGTGCATCACTTGCACCGCCGCTGCCCCGCAGACTTCCGGCATGTCCCGACGCCGACTACAGGTCACTTGCGTTCGTTGTGGGCTCTCCTTGCCAAGGGAAGCCTTCGCTTGCGACCGCGACAGGACGCATGACAGCGTCTGTCGTGAATGCAGCGTAGTGGGTCGACCGCCCTTACAAGACGTGCCGTTCTCTGTCGGAGACATGAACCGAAGTTGCCCGCATTGTGCGGCCTCCCTCTTTCCAACCGAAACGCCAGCGTTTTGCTGCAGCAGCGGCAAGTGGGCGATCACATTCGAGCACTTCTTCTCACCTCCGGCTCCCGCCCTTCTGGAGATATTCCGCTCCACTTGGCCCGCTCGCGACGCCGCGGGCCATCTTCTACACGATCCCACGACCAATTCTCCTCGTCTGACAGGGCTCACGGCAGCAAGTCGCCGCTACAACAACTTAGTCGCATTGGCTGTTCACGAGATCCACAGCGCAGGAAGCACGAAGGAACTTCGATTCGGCAACTACATGCGTCCTTCCAACCTCCGGATTCACGGCGCGATGTACAGGCGAGTGCTCACGGCAGCCGAAACCACCGCTGTGAGATATCTCGTCGTGGACCCTCAAGAACGCACTCGACAAGCCACTACCCTGCAGTTAGACGTGGGGCTGCTTCGTCGCCTGGAACGCCTCCCACTGCCCATCAACCCGTTCATGAATGAGATCAAACGCCTCGGAACTATACGTCGCCCTGGGCCCGACGCAGCGGTGCACTTGAAGTGGGACGAGGACATCAACGATCTCGCCGCCATCGTCGACGCGCGCACGGACAGCCACGCTCAACCTCGCACGGTCACGTTCCGACTGAACTCCTCCGCCGCCCCCAAGTATCTCCATCCACTACACCCTTTCTACGAGCCACTGTCCTACCCACTGTGGTTCCCATCCGGCGGGCGTGGGTGGAGCCCGGATGCGATGATCAACGGCGCGCACATCAGCCAAATGTGGTGGCACCGGCAATGCGTACAACGGTTGTCTCACATGCACGCTTGCGGACGATTGCTCAACGAATGGCTCGTTAATATGTACTGTCGCATGGAGGACGAAAGACTGAGCCTCCTCCGCCGTGACCAGCCCAAACTGCGTGGCACTAGACGTCAGGTCTGCGAGATGATTGCGAACACCGCCGACCCAGCTCCTGCTGTGGCCCGCGTGCTCTTGCCCTCGAGCGTGCCGGGGTCCCCGCGCCACCTCAGACGTCTTCGAGTCGACTGCTTGGAACTGGCGCGTCGTAAAGGCCCGCCCACTTTCTTTATCACTCTGACATGCAACCCGTACTGGCCAGAAATTCAATCAGCCCTCTTGCCTGGACAAACCGCTGCTGACAGACCAGACGTCGTCGTCCGCGTGTTCCACGCGCGACTCCTGGAGATGGTTTCCTTTCTGAAGACCGACTTCTCTGGGCGCAGAAGGTAAATCATCCGCGTGATTGAGTATCAGATGCGGGACCTCCCTCATGCACACATTGCGCTCGCGGTGGACAACCCCCCCCTGCACGCCCGAGGAGATCGATGCTCTCATATCGTGCGAAGTCCCTCCTGAACATGGCCCACTCCGCGAGCGCGTCCTGCATCACATGATTCATCGGTGCAATCATTCCTGCCATCCCAACGACCCTGCCCAGGAGTGCATCAAAGGATGCCCGTGGCCGTTCGCAGACACCGCCGAGATCGACGCCAGAGGGTGCCCGCACCATCGCCGACGTCCGTGCTCTAACACTTGCCCAAATTGCCAATCTGCCGGGCCTGCCTACGGACGACGACATGTCTGCTGCAATCGACTGGTCGTCGAGCACTCCCGCAGCATTTTGTTGAAGTGGAACGGCCACGCGAACGTTAAGTTCGCCGGATCTGTCAATCTGTTCGAATACCTATTCAAGTACCTCTTCAAGGGACCCGACCACACCATGTACACCATCGGCTCGGAAGACCAGCCGACCGACGAAATTGCCGACTGGCTACGCGGCAGGTACCTGGTCGCCACGGAATGCGCATGGCGAGTCTTCGGCTACACCACGTACGAGCGCGTGCCTACGGTACTTTGTCTGCCGGTGCACCTTCCCGACGAGGACTGGGTCGACTTTGACGAGGGATTCGAAGCCGATGCTTTGGACCGCACTACGTCCCAGTTGGAGCGCTATTTCTACCGCCCGAACCGAGAGCCATTCCTCGGCTGCAAATACACAGAGCCAGGACGTCCCGCGGCTGCACTTCGCAGTCCGCCAACGCCACCGAGCCGCCCGCGCGTGCATCACTTGCACCGCCGCTGCCCCGCAGACTTCCGGCATGTCCCGACGCCGACTACAGGTCACTTGCGTTCGTTGTGGGCTCTCCTTGCCAAGGGAAGCCTTCGCTTGCGACCGCGACAGGACGCATGACAGCGTCTGTCGTGAAGAAGTGTGAATACAGCAAACTCATCTGCCGGCTGACCTTCCCCGCGGCCACGGCCGCCGCGACGCGCGCGCCGACGCCCAATTAGGTGCCCACGCGAATAGCGCTGCGCCGCGCGGGGGGGCGCGCGACGCCCACGTTCGGAAAAAAAACTCCGCGCGTTGGCCGGCCGGCCGGTCCCGCTCTCAAAAACGAAGCCGTCGGCGTGAGCCAAAATTGGCTTCGCCCGAGGGGTGGCTCCGCGCCCCGGGATATGCTCCATCCTTAGGAAAACTCACACCCTCGACGGCCCCTCGGCGCCAGCGTGCCCGGAGAGCGCCAGACGCACCCCATCTTGGGGCCGAACAGACAAAGCAGCCGTCGACGTAAACCAAAATTTGTTCAGCGCGTGGGGTGGCTCCGCGCCCCAGGACATGCTTCTTCCTTGCGAAAACCCACAGCCACGACAGCCTCTCGGCACGGCGTGCCCGAAACGCCAGAAGCCCCCATCTGGGGCCCGAAAAAGAAAAAGCAGCCGTCGACGTAAACCAAAAATTGGCTGGTTCAACCCGTCGGGTGGTTTTGCGCCCGCGCACATGCTGATTCCGCACGAAAACACACGCGCGCACACGAACGCACAAACACACAAACAGACAAACACACATACACACACATACACACCCACACGCACGAACATACACACACA